TAATTTGAAGACCTTTTAATGAACAAAATTGCAAAATAAAGTTGTAGTAGTCGTACCATCTTATATTAGAGATAGCATTTAACAAGAAATAAAATGTGCAAACATATATAAAATTAAGGAAAAGTTAACAAAACATTTAAAATAAATAGCAACAATTGTGTCCTTAAACAAAATGTAACATTCACTTTGCTGTAGAACTGCGTGTTCGGGTGGAGTGGTTTGGGTCGACCGCGACTGCCTCACTCATGTTGCCGCTACTCGCTGCCGCCATGTCTGTTTTGAAAATGACGACGCATCGACGCAGATTTTTTTACGTCGACGTATTTTACGCGTCGACGTAATCGATTACGTCGACGCGTTGTCCCAACCCTAACACACACACACACACACACACACACACACACACTCGTATACATACACACACCCATATACACACACACAGACCCACTTTTATGCCCAATTCTGCAATTCTCACCTGCTGGCAGATGCTCTTTAACACATACTTTGCATATACATCCAAGCTGGCAGTCTCTATGGAAACGGCACGGCCAGAGCCCTTCTTGGAGCCCATGTCGTCTTCGCTTATATCATCCAGCCCAGCTGGGTGGGAGAAGCCAGAGCCTTTGAGCTCGGCGTCCCCTGAAAGAACAAGAAAAGTCACTGTCAGGCTGTCATTGTGTTGTCACATTTCATTGCTTCTTTGTAATAAATGCACTAAAAGCTTATCTTTACAAACCACTAAAAACTGATTTATATCTGACAAATTCAATCGATGGAATGTTATTTCAAAACAGAGGACCAGTATTATTCTACATTACTAAAAATTACAAGGTTTAGACAAAGTTCACAGAATTAGAAACTGAGGCTGAAAACTTGGACAGCAGAAGGATAATGGCGACTTACCCAGCATAAAAACAGCCTTGAGAACAGCAAACACCGCACCAACAACGATGCTGTTCTGTGATGCAGCCAAAAGGTGGCGATCACACGATGAACGGATCCCAACGGTTGCTTTAAAGAAAAGTTCACACAAAACTATTTAAATATTTAAAATCCACCTATCCTCCATATCTACTAGACATCTGCAGAGTTATGCCAAGCAAACAGTCTCTTAGGAAACACATTACAAAATAAGACTGCATGTCACAGAGCCCAGATGCAGAAATTAAGTGGTCAAGAAATTCCAAACTGAGGTGAAAGGCAAAAGTCTTTCCAGTGAAGCCACCACCCTACTCAACAATATAGAGTGCAAAGGTTCTGCCCCATTTATGTTGCCTTTAGAACCCAACAGTCATTCATGAGATACCATTGCAAAGCGTCTTAGATCACACCTACGCCGAGCCAAAAGTGGGTAGTTACAAAGGGGGACAGCATATTACCTGACTTGGAACTGTCCTGAGGGCACGGGTTACGTTGTGGGGTCTTGAATAAATGGAGGAGAATCCTGCAGGTCAGTCTGGCTCCAGGCTCAGAGTCCTGCTCACTGCAGGCTGAAAGACGCGCTTTCTGAGCTACACACTGGAGCACACTTATCGCTCAGCAGTCACACGCTGACGTGTTGGCTAAAATGCAGACTCAGGGGAAAATACATTTACACTGAAGAAGCAGAGTTACCAAAATGACAATGCGTTTATTGCAAGGATTTGAGAGATGATTAGCAAATGGGAAACAGTCACGCAGACTTTTGGAAGTCAAATCAAAGCTTCACTTGCCTTATAGCTCACGCCAAAGAGTCCAAGCAAACGGGGTTTTGTGACGCGTGACCTGACAGGCCTTACAATGCTTTACACTTCCGCTACTTAATAAATCCCTTTTGATATAAGCAATGTTTTTCTCCTTTGTGAACAATTTACTTAATGTCTGGCAATAAATAACCTTACTGCATAGTCAGCAACAATACAGGTCAATATGAAAACCCAGCAGGAAACGGGTATAAAATTTAAGTGGGAATGTCCATATCTAGAATTTCAGGTTTCGACGAAGCCAAACTTACCAGCATTTAGAAGAGAAGGGATAGCTACACAGCGTACCAAATCTTCCAGGAGGAGACACTGCCGGGCAATGAGGATGGCAACGAACGTAGCCAAAGAGTCATGGAAGGACAGGTCACTGACCTGGAAAAAGAAGGTATCACTTTCAGCATCACTGGATACAAAATTGAATCCCAGAATATTTACAGCAAATCCTTCAATATGCAGGATCTATCTGAAATACGGGTTATATACTCAGACGGTCAGACCGAAGGCCCAGGTCGTGCGGGAGTTACTTACGTCTACATTGCACAGGAGGTCGTTAAAGCCACAGTTGCCATTGTTAGAGGAGCAGCAGAGTGCTTTGAGGACTCCCAGCCATTCCGCGCTTAGCGAGCGGCAGTACGCCGTCAGCTCAGCACACAGAATGCCAATGTCATTCACCCTACAGGAGAGCCACACATTACACTGAGAGAAGCATCACTGTTTCAGGTCCAATACTAGCTTGGTAAACAGGCTAGTCAGCCTTTGAAAGATCTTTTTCATTTTGGTTTTGTAAGTTGAGTGCAGTACCTCTCAGGATCTCGGTGGTCCACACAGACATCCATGAGCACATTGCACACAAAGCTGTAGCGATTGGCAGGGCTGTCATTGAGGATTTTTCCCACCATGGAGTGGTTAAAGTTTGGTGCCGAAGGGTTGGCTATGGTTTCTATCATGAATACTGGGTCCCACAACATGTTGGAGTCAGAAGGGTCAATGTTGCAGTAGATGGAATTCTTCACTTTTGAGCAAAAATCACTGTGAGGGACAAAACAGCTTATATAGCACAAATAAGCATGAGGATCAGTAACACACGCTTTTATACTGATAGGGTTCTGTGCCTCACCTGAATATCTCCCCAAACTTGCTCTTCAGGTGACTGCAGGAGGTGTAGAGGTCGTACAGGTAGGCTAGAATGCAACGTTCAGCCGAGGAGCAGTCTGCTGGGTTCACACCATGCTTCACCACGATGCGTAATCTGAAGAACAGCAGCACGTCACATGCAGACACTCTTCGGAATTCATCACGGCTGCTTCACCAGCAGCCCAGGACTTGGCTACATACATGAGGTCAGTTAAATGCACAGGTGAACGCAGACGGGCGTACCCGTCAAAGACCTGCGCCGTCTGCTCGGGGTTGAGGATGAGGCAGGAGTGGTAGCGCCGGAGCACGGCGACGATGCAGAGGCAGAGCCCCGTGGTGTAGCTACCCGCCAGGCTCGAGGACTTCAACAGAAGCTCCGCCTCCACCAGGCTGAGCTCGTTCAACAGCTGCAACAAGGAACGCACATCAGCTCCGGAGATCTTCATGTCATATACAGATTGTACGTGAATTATTTGCAGACAATCTTTTACAGGTGTTTTTACAGTTTGTGCAAACAATATGAACAGCTGGAGGGTTGAGGTCAGCTGAGGAAATCCAGCTCACTTCAGTACTACATTATGTTTCTACCAAAGACCAAATTTTCTTCTGTAACCCAGCACTGAATCACATTCTTAAATTCACACAAACATTGTTGTACCTTAATAAAGGAGAGAGGGGAAAAAAACCCTTTGGCTCATGCAGATTTACTTAAGGGCAGATCTGTTTGCTTCCTTACTTGAATGGCAAAGTCTATGAGGCCACTAATGTTGAGCGAGTACTCCATGAGGTCAAAGATGAATTGGATGTGCTGGACCAGGGGCAGGTGGTAGGACATCCCTAAGGCAAAACTGGTGATCTGTTCCAGAACATTCCTAGACACCTGTCAGTTAAAGGACACAAAAGCCTTTTGCTAATTCCAATGACAAAAAACAAGGGAAACAGAAGTGAAACAGAAGTGAAAGGTGCATCATCACACCAGCACTGGTGTAGCTCTGGCGTGTAACACACTAACCTGAGAGGTGACCTGATGCTGGTCAAAGTGGGAGAGAAGCTGGAATTTAGAGAATATGTCTTCTGCCGTCGGGAAGGCTTCGGGCTTGCTCCTCTTCCTCTTCTGCCCTTCCTCTCCCCCTGAAGCAAGCAGCACGATGGCATGCATCAGAATAAGCATTACTGCACCGACCCAGGGAGCGTCGATGGCCACACAATGCCGACAGGCATCCTGCTTTCTGGAACAGACTAGCTCAGAACGGGCTATTTAAGAAGGCCAGACCTTCCACGAAAAGCCAGAAATGTGACGCAGCAAATGCGTGGTACCCAGCGGCAACGGCAATGGTGAAAGCTTGAGGCGGCGCATTTCAAAGTACTATCATTACAAAGACCTACTCAGGCACTTTTTCAGACACTTTCAGGTTTGAGCAGGGCGACATCAAGGAAACAATGAGAGAATAGAGGCTATTCTGCCAGTATGTCATGAAGAACAGGGAATGTGAACCTGGCTGAACACCAAGGGCCAGCCTCCTACCAGTCTCCGCGGTACTTTTGCGGTTCAGCACTTTCAGGATGTCTTTGGTGATTTTCTTGATAGTGTGCCGGGCCTCGTCCCGCTGCTTGCCCACGCCATAGAGCACCACCAGGCGCTGGTTGCACTCGTGGCTGGCGCTCTCCTCCTGACGGGACACACACCGAGGAAGAGAGTGGTGGGAAAAGCACACGGCACAGGCGGGAGCGGCCGCTGCCCGACAGAAAGCTCCCCGACGGCATGCTGCAGCCGCAGCTCACCTGAGGGATGGGGAAGTGCGTGGCATACTGGATGTGGCGCGGCTGCTCGTACACCAGCGGGAAGGCGGGGTCCCCGGCTTTCTCCTTCACTCCGCCTTTCACGTCCTGCTCGGGGACAGGCTTCTCTGGGGAAGGGCTACCCTTTGACTCACTGTGCATGGGTGGGGAAAACATCTGCGGGCCACAGGAGTCCAACGGCAGCATTAGCACAAGTTTTATTTTATTAGCGTGATCCTCAAATCAGAGGTTCACTACCAACACAAAGCAGACAATGAGTCTTGCTATGCCAGCTCAGAGGTTCCTACACTCTGAGAACCATATACACATATGAAAATCGATGCTCTTCCACCAAGAGAGGACATACCTCATCAAAATTTGCACTTGAGTTGGGTTCATTCTCCATTGACTCAGACAGACTAGTATACTGAAAGGCAAAATATTGTGTCAAACATTCTTAAAAATAGTCACACAGGAATATAGCTGTAAGACACCAAAGTGACGAAACAGCACTGCGCACCTCCATCTTGACAACTCCGCCGGCCTCCTGCTCCTTACGCTCCATGTCGTCGGACGGCTCGTCGCCAGGGGAACGGGGGCGGGGCAAGTGGGGGTCGGAGGCCAGGTCGCCACGGGAGATGAGGGTACACATGTAGATGTTGTGGGAGAAGACGTCATGGCGAATCAGCTCACAGAACAGGAGGACCAGGTTGGAGAATTCTACACGCTCGCTCTCATTGCCAGGTTCAGCTGTAAAGAGACGTTCCATGCTATTTAATGTTATGCTATTTAATTTATTAGAAGCTGAATATCTTATCTAAATAAAAGAATTACAAAACATTTAAACTAATGAATAGTTTAAGAGAGACAAGGTGATAAAAGAGACGGCTGTAAATAGGAAGATGAATAACAATTATTTGTAGGAAAGCATTTCTAGGAAACAGATGATTTGCTGGAAGGCAATTAAAAGTTAATGATGAGGCAAACAAGTTTTTGTAAAGCAAAGTGCCACAGAGCAGGGGTTATGAAATAGGGGTGTGCAGAATCAGAGAATGTCAGTGTTATCATTCACTAAATGTGAAACACACCAGTGGCCTATCCTGTGAAGCGGGTTACTGGCTTATTGGGGTAACTTGTCTGATTTAAGGTACCACAGTTTAAATAGACTTCATATCTGTTCACTTACATTTTGCCCAGACTACCTTAAATCCCATAAATTACCCCGATAAGCCAGTAACCCCGCTTCACAGCACAGGCCACAGACGGGACTCCCGTCTTGCTCACCGCCCCAGCTGTGGGGTCATGTGATCAGGGGGTCCCTGGCTCTCGACTACCTTCATTTGGAAGTACCTAGTTAAAGACTGAAGACACCTGCTTCAGAATATTTATGAAATTGATAAAGAAGTGAATTTTTGGTTTAAAGAATTTATCATAGCCACAAACCTAAGAGCACCATGCATCGTAAAAGAAAACAGAACTGTTTAAGGTGAGAGAGACTGACAGAAGAGAAGATGCGACGTACTGAGCATAGGTGCCTGAGTGTCCAGGAACTGCAGCAGGACATCCTGGAAGACAGGCATGGTAGCAGCAGAGAGCGAGCCGGAGGACACCGACCCTTTTTCATCCACCACCTCCGACTCCCCGCACCTCTGCAAAGACACGCGGCGGGCAATCAAATTAATCCCAAGCCAGAGGTGGGTGGTTCAGTCTGAAGAGTAAAAATCCAAAGCAGACAATCTTTCAGCTAGCCAGCTGAGGACTCTGACTCTTTATACACAACTGGTTGGCTGAAACAACACCTTGGTCTGGATTTTTACTCTCTAGACCAGAGCCACCTCTGTCCACGGCCTATCAGACCCTTCCTA